AAAAAAAAAAGATATCATGGCAGTGGCGTTTCGCATGAATTAAGAACTCCAAGAAATGCCAATTTGCCAACCGCAGGTAATCACCTCCCTGACACCCCTAAGTTACCCTATGAGAAACACTGATTTAAAATGCAATGATTACGATATGAGTTTAAATTTTAAAGGAATCGATGATGGAGATTTGTGTTATGCGTAGCATAGCGACAGAATCGGTAACTTCGGTTTATAAATAATGGATGTAATGAAAGCAATTCAGCTGTCTCATAAATCTGTAATTGTCAACAATGAGCATTGCCAGCGAATTTCACTTACGCCTCATTGTGTGAACGTGAAATGAAGTAAAATTAAGTTAGTGTGAAGTAAACATGTGAATTTTCGCATTCCCATGTTCATTCCTACGCTTACTAAGCCCTCGTGGGAAATCAGTTCAGCAGGTTAGGAAAAGACACATAAGTATACGGATCAGCTCTCCTCTCCTAATCGCAATCGCTTTTCTCTGCTTTCAAATCTTCCCCCAAAGTTTGCGATCGGAACGCTTATTTGTTCGCGGAAAAACATCACTGCGATATTAAATAAATGAAAATTTTTATTGAATCGTTCAACAATAGAGAATCTACCAAACAGTGAGTAATCAAAAACAAAGTTCAACAACAGATGACGATAAAATAACCACATAAAGTCAACAAAGTTCACAGATGAAAAACAATCAGCCGGCAGTACCGCACCCTACAACCTCTCATTTCTTTCAATAATCAACATGCTGACTGTAAACATTTCTTTTTTTTNTTTTTTTTGCGGCCAATCTAAGAAACTATTTCATAATGAAACAAGTAGTTTACGAAATATCAGTTTGCCAACCTCCCCAATTACTCCCTCACTCTGACGCTCCGAATTACCTCCTCCCCCCCCGCGGAGTAATTCACCAAACATGAAAAACACTGTTCTATAGCTCGTGTATATTTTGTTCACGTCGTCAATAATGAGTATTCAAGCTGCATGTTTCTTTATTTCCGTTCTCAGAAACGTGCAGAGACCGAAGAGCACTTCAAACGGATCATCTTGAATTCAGAGAAACCTCTGAATATTTTGACACGATCAACTGATGACGAATATATTTTGCTTGATGGAGAGACGAGTCGTTCATCGAAAGATATTATCGGTAGGTATGATTAATCCATACTTCACAGACTTATTGTCGTTACTACACATTCGAAGTTATCAAATGATGAATCTTCACTCTTCATCCAAATTGCCCCAGGGCACAAGTGAAAAGTTTCGAATATTATCATTGATGAATGTTTTCGATGATACTTCTGTGTTTATTACGGCCATGCATATTGTTTTATTGTCAGTCGACCAGAATTGCGTGTCGCTGCTGAAATTTTCTGCATATTTCTTTGCATATTGTCAAGGTATGATCTATTCAAAGTGAAAGGAACTGAATATGATAAAACTTTCGCAGAAGGATCATAACGAAAATGATTTATTAGGTTGCAGAATATAATGAAACCAGATCGCCAGATTCACCTCGAAAGTTGTTTACAAACATTCGAATCAATTTGGCTGATACNAATGACATTCATTAATTTGTTGACCACCCTCCTAGAGTTTCTTTCGACTGAAGTATTCATCGACGAAGCCGAATCAAATATATTTTCACCGAAAAACGGTGTGAGGGAAAAGAGAGCAATATGGTGGAGCGAATCATTCTTGACAGATGTACTCAAATCATTGTCATCATCTCTGTATCTTTTCAAGTCATTGCATCTCAGCGACGCTCAATCAAGTTTCAAACAAATGGAATCCTGCGAAACACGAATCGGTTCATGTCAGTTCTTCATTCATTCATTCGTATCACCCAACCTACTCTGCTTGTAAAACGTCTTCAGTCTCATAATAAATCAACATCTGGTTGCTTATGTAGAAGGATAATCGCATTCTTGCGTAAGTGATGATTGCTGGTTGCAGTAATGTCAGAAATGTTAACATTCTCGGACTGTCGACGAAATCAATCTTGTGGTTTTGGACTTTATCGTCACCCGCAACATCCACACGAGCGCTCGTTTTTGTGAGTTTCGCTTGGTTACTTAGTTGTTTTGTTTGCGTTTACCACATATTCATGGTACACACAATAGTGTTGCTATCCACATTCATTCTGCTTGACATAAATTTGTGACGTTTCACTCGAATGAATTCAGTTAGTCATTGGTCATGCAGCACTCGTACACGGCAATCCAAACTTTACTATGGTCCATCATTCTCATGCACTCTTAGATATTATTATTTTCTTATAAAAGCCTTAATTAATTTCAGTCTCAGCGTATTATCGACGTCACTGCTATGTGAAGCAAACGCTGATGAACATATAGTTTGTTCAGTGCTGTCATATCTGCTTGACACGATAGAGCTGACGCCCATTAGGGAGATTCACGATCCATGGCTTGATCGAATTGATTTTGTAATTGATTTTTCAATTCATTTTTTGATGACCTCTCCTCGTTTGGATCTTTTGGAATAACCAAAAAAGTTCACTTTCACATGATTTATTCATTACATTTAACTGAAACATACCAGTTTTGCATCTTAATTTCTCGGATGCTTCCAGCATTTAAGAAAAACGCTTTCTCATAACTTGCGACTGGCCATTGCAGAAAACGCACGGTGACCGCCATTGGTTTCTCGTTGCATTCATAAATCAATTGTCCTACGATTGCGCACTCTATCGATGCCTCGTAAGCATAGATTATTTCTTTTAAAACTCAGTTTTACACTGAAATTGTGATTTGACGGATGACCATAGCATTTTGGTGAAATGATATCTTTTGTTCAGACCGCATTCAGCGAAGTGCAAGCACTCAAATTTTCACTTATACATATTGTACTTTAAACATTTTGTTTTGAAGTATTCTCCAAAGAAAATTATTCTATAAATTCGAACATTGGAGATCATTTCTTTTATACGTAAACTCGTCGTTGTCTAATCAACAAAGTAACTGCTGATTAATACAATTTCTCGCAGTTTAAAAAAGCTGACAAGTTATGTAGCAATCGAAAAACAACTATTAGTGGAATAAAGAATGATTCGTTCTGCGAAGTAAATAAAGATGTAAACAGAGTGGCAATGATTGGATGATTCTGCAGCGAAACGACAAACTATGGATACGATTACGAAGAAGTTTTTTGAGTATTCAGTCGAATGAACTCACCGATTTGAGATCTATCGCTGCGTTGGCTTTCATGGCTCCAAAAACCACTGCTGATCTCATGCGCATCCGAATGTACGCCACTATAAAAGGTTAAATAGCCGTTTCCATCTGAACCCGCACACGCCCCTATTGATACTTGTTTGCTTGAACCATATACGAAAATTCTTAGTTCCTATCTTTATGTTAGCATTGCATTGCCTTGCGCGTTTGAATCGAGATACGTGAACCGCTCAAAGAAGCCGCAATGAAGGATTTAACTACTCAGCAGCTCGAAATCCACTCTAACGCCGTGAACATAGATTATCGTCGATTTGAAACAGTCACCCATCTAGAAAAACTGGAAGAAACATGTGCGCCTATTGCCCTGGTAGATATCGACTGTAGTATAGTTTGCTGCATTGGTATCTTTAGCAAATTCTTTTGCTTGCTTCAAGGGCATCGTTAGTAGAAGCATTTTATTTTCATTGCTTCTCACAGTCACAAAATTTAAGGCTCATATCGCAATTATTGTTTTCGTGAGTAACGTTGCAGTCAATAATTTGAATGATGTTCAGAGGGGAGTTTGCCATTCTGGACAGCTGGGAGGGCAAGCGATGGCTCAGTACTAGCTAAACTACGCTCAAGATACAACGATCTTTTGGGTCGTCGCTTAGTGAAGGTATGGTCACATTGGTATATTTCTAATCAGTCGGCAGTTAGTGTGTAATAACAATCTGTGAATTATCATGATCTCTCACCTCACGCTCTTTCGTGAATACAGCAGTGATAGTTTGAGCACAATCAAATTAACCGGTCATTTGAAGACCGTTGGAGGAGTTAGTGGTTGGTGGTGAGATCATGCACACCCGTTTGGTTTGTACCCTGGACTATGCTGACGCCTAGTCGCAAAGAAGTGTTGGGATTTGCGCAACGACTTGTGCTTTTTCACGCAATTTTCACTTTGTAGAGTGGTGATCTGCTGGTGAATTCATTGGGTACGTTGGCGTTCGTAAACGGAAACACTCATCCAATCCATCGTCTTCTTGAATTTGACCCACTAATCGACTGGATACACGAACAGCTCAATGGTGAACGAGTAGCGCCTACTGCTCTGGTAGAAATCTGTTGTACTGCAGTCTGCTGTTTTAACAAATTATTTTGCGCACTTCAAAAGCATTATTGTTTNNNNCATCGTTTTCCGAGTGATATAATGACGCCGATGTTTGGTTCAGGAGACTTATTTCGCGAATCGTGCCATCTACGAATACCGTCTCCATAAACAAATTCCAAACAAAAACGAACCGCAAATCGTCAACGTGCAATGTCCCGAATGCAAAACCAAATCATACAATGTCTCAGATACAGCCATCCTCTTCTATGTGCGTTAACCCTTATGACTTTCGTTCAGATCATTGCGATGAATTTATTACTCAAAAAGCAAAGTTCCTCTCATGCTACCGCGTGTTCGTCAACCAATTATATTGAGATGTCGGTTCATCAAAACTGACAAATATCTGCTTTAGTTTGTTTGTGATGTTAGCGGTGTTAGCTTTTGTTGCTGTTGCGAAGACGACAATTAATAATATAATTTATCCATAATAATAAATAAGAACGAGAGTACAACACTACAATAACTACGAGTGACAACACTGACTATGCCAACAACACACTCACTGACACTGACTATCTACAC